CTGAGCCACACAGGCCTCTTGGCTCCAGCCCAGGATGGCACCACCCACTGTGCTGCTCCTTCTGACTTTCAAGCATCAGAAAAGATGGTCCTGACCCTTGCAAACATCTTAGTGTCCCTCTCTCCAAAAGCAGAGATCCTCTCCTCTTGTTCATGAGGTTCAAAACATTTTTGTTGCAAGACATCTGTTCCCAAGGACTATGGAGAGACTGGTTCTGTCACAGGCGTGGAAGTCGGAGAACTGCAGAGATGAGTGGGAGGACTGTGCTGGGCCTGAGAGCTGGAATCTTGAGAGAAGGTGTGAAATTAGTCAAGCCAAGATTTGGGTGAGATGAATCTGGCTGCAGTTAGCTGTGGGCTGCACGGGCCCTGAAAATTGAGGACACATCTCCATCCTTCAGACCAAGAAGCAGCAGGTTCTAATACCAGATCCTGCAGTACCTGGCCGTGTGTCCTTGAGCAATGTACATAATGTCTCTGAACCTCTGTTCCTTCACTTGGAGAGTAGGGATACTTACTACCTCAAAGAGAATTCTGCTGCAAGAATGAACAAGATCGGTGTCAAGCTCTGGACATCAAAAGCACTTAATCCAGGCCAATTTTAGTCCCCTTCTTTCTTGGCCCAACTGGGTAACCCAGGCAATCGTGGCTGTGCATAGGCCAGACTACCAGTCTACAGACTGAGACTGCAGAAAAGCATTTCATTGATTCCCCTTCAGAGTGCTCCTACCCCAGCAGAGCTCCTACGCTGACCCTTGCTACCTCCGCTGTGGGCCTGCGCAGGGCGATGCTAAACTTCATGTTCAAAATCAAGGCAACCAGAGGCCTCCTGCAGGGAGGGGATCACAACAAACTGGCAAGGCTGTCAGAAGGCATTCAGTCAGCGCGCTCTTTCTCCAGGACATAAAGGGGACCCGTGGGCGATTACCCAGCTAGACAGCTTCAGAGCTAGGACGAAAATCCAGGTCTCCTGACTCCCGAGGCCTGGCCACGGTGCGCTATGCCTTCAGAAGCCGTCAGCAGGGTTTAGGAAATTCCCAGAGAGCAATGCATTTCTTTTTATAACCAAAAAGTGAGTCTGTATCATGACTGTGGTGGTTGATACAAAGAGTGAACTTACTGTACCTAAGTTTTGAAAGGGAAGGGGAAATTGTCTTCATGATTATTCCCCCACCTTTTTTCTTTTTCCTTGTGGGGCTGGGGATTGAACCCAGGGCCTCAAACATGAGCTGCACTGAGCTGCACTCCCAGTCCCTTGTTTGTCTTATGTTTGTCACTGTGTGGCCTGGGCTGGCCTCAATCTCCCAGAGCCATGGTGTACAGCTTAGATTGTTTTAATAACCAAGTAGCAGTTAGAACTTGGCTTTCTTCTTGTCACAGAGGTTATTTGTGTTGCTTGGACTTCTTCACCATAAAATCACCATCGGTTTTTTTTTTTTTTTTTTTAAGTCAAAGTTTTCTCTCTTCCCTTTCCTTTTGCTCTTTCCCAACTTTCCCATCATCTCAGAAATGGTGAGACACACAGCTGTTTTCCCTTCCTACATGAAGTCTGAAGGTCATGTAGACCTAGATTCAATCCCAGCTCTGTCATCTGCCATCTGTGTGTGCTCAGGCAGGTCCCTTAACCTCTCTGAGCCTCACTTTCTTCAGCTTCAAGTGAGTATGGCTTTAATGCCTTTCTCTTTAGACTGTGGTAGGTGTTGAGTTTAATGCATCATCTCCCAAACTTCCATCATAATGAGAATCCTTTGGGCATTGTTAAAAACACAGATTCTGGGCAACAATCCAGAGCTACTGAGTCAGAATTCCCAGAGGAGCTGACAAACCCCAGGGATTCTTATCAGGGAAACTTGGGGAATACTGTTGATTTTTACTAAGCATTTATTTCGAAGAATGGCACTAAGCAGCTAATATTTATTAAACACTCATGTGTTCAATCTTTGAAATGGGGACAATAATGACCACCAAGTGGAGTTATAAAGAACAACAAGCAAAACACTTTTGCCTGGCAAACAGGAAGTTCTAAGTTAGATGTCAGTGTTCGCACTTCTTGCGCCAGTCAGACTCTGAGGCTGAGACTCATAGGAGGTTGGCTGGCTCTACTTCCTGGCTCCGGCTTTAGGCTCAGGCAGGCTTTGTCCAGGAGGAGTGTCTCCACGATTCCAGTCTCCGTGCTCCCAGCCCAGGACCCCAACTGGAGATTCTCATTCCCCAAATCCCAGGGATTGAGTCTCACTTGGCCAGTCTGGATCTGGGCCTTTGCTTGCACAGATCACTGTGAGCAGGATGTAGAGCTTGCTAACTGGCCAGATTTGAGCCACATGCTGACTCTGGGAGCTGGAGAGACAGATGGGAGTCAGCCCATCTGAACTTCAGGAGTGAAGAATGGTTTATACCCACACGAGTCCTTCCAGTGGCCCCAGTATTGCAACCCTAACTGAAACTGATGCTTGGCAGGCCACCTGCGGATGTCCTCTGCATGAGCCCCCAAGTCACCATTAGTAGTAGACAGATGCCCCTTCAGGTTTGACTTTCCCTGATCTTGTCTCAGCTCGTAATTTTGTGGCTGATCTTGAGGGCCTGTCAGGTGGTTCAGCCTCAGACCTGTCCCCATCTGTGCAACCATCCCCAGCCTTCTCAGTCTGCAGCTCCCTGGATCCAATCTGCTACAGGGGATGTCCAAAGACTGGGTTAGGGACATAATGGTGGTTGTTTCTCAAAGCTGCTTGTTAGGGACTCTCTGCGGGAATCCTTCCAATCATGAACAATTAGTTTTTGAACCAGGATAAAAACAGCCTTTGCGGGGCTGGGGTAGAGGCTCAGCAGTAGAGTGCTTCGAACTAAAAAATAAATATGAGACCAATGGAACTGCTCCACCCTTCTTCCCTCATCTGCCTGGTCTTTTAACAGGGGATAAGAACAGGGTCTCTGGTGTCAGGGAGATGGAGGTTTGAGGCCTGTCACTTACTAGCTGGGCTAGTTGTCTCATCTCCTGGAGCCTCAGATTTCATCAGTGCACTCCAGGTTTGGAGGAGGAAATGGATATAAAGAATACGGCCCAGATTAGGAGCTCATCATCGCCACCAATCAGCACGTGGTTCTCTCCAGGCCTGGGCCTGCACCCATAAATGCACAGCCCTTTCCGTGGTGATCAATGTCAGCATCAGGAAGCCAGTCACTGGGAATATGAGGAAAATGCAATTTGTCCCAAAGGTAAGTAGAACCCATCATTGGCTGTCCACACACAGCTAGACTTCATTCTAGCACTGCAAGGTGGACCTTCTGCTCCTTACCATGACTGGCCTCCCCTCAACTGGCAATACAGCAGCAGGAATTATATTAAGCCCAGGAATGGGAGTCCTGGGTTCCAGGTTTTGCTCTGCCCCTCCCTTGCAGAATGACCTTGGGCATATTACTTGTCCTCTTTAGCATTTGTAAGCACAGATATGAGAAGTTCCTTCCCTGATCCATGATGGCCAAGGGTGAGAAACTGAACACAGCTGCCTCAATCAAGTGGCTGCCCATCACGGGCCAGGAGGCTGGAGGTACTTCCCTGTAAGGGCAAGAGCTAGACTGACACACCTGACCATTCCTGATGGTGCTCTTCTGGCTGCATGACCTTGGTGAGTCACTCTCAGCCATCTGGGTAACAAGGGTAATGCACCTACGCAAGGTGCTGTGATGACTCAGTATTGAGATTTCTGAGAAGGGGTGTTTAAAGCACTGGGCCAGGCACTTAGCAAGATCTCAGCAAAGGGCAGCTCTTCCATCCAGGTGGAGCTTCCTTCTCCATTCATGACTGAAATCCATAAAATGAAAATAGTATAATAGACCTGGGTTTCACCTCTTCCAAGTTACCAAGCTACCTCCTAGTCTGTACAATGGGCATTATCTTCCTCAGTGATTGATATATTCATAATTTCATTAGTGAGAAATATTCAGCCCCTTGACTGAAATCAAATTAGCTGAGGCATGAATGAATATTTACCTTCCAAATCTAGAAAGAGGTTTCCTTCCTTAGGCTCAGTTTCATCCATTCATCATCTACTTATCAATTAATTGATCCTTAAAGATTCCATGGAGGGAGTCAGGGCCAAAGTCCTGAGAGTGGACCAATGCTTTCCCCAATTTCTCCCCACTCCCAGGCTCCTTCACAAGCTCTGAGGCTCAAAGCATGGCTGCCTGGTTCATACCCCTTGCCCCATTACTGAGCCTGGCACCTGCCTAGAGACTGGGTAGGTCACAGGCTCTCTTGGATGCACTGTGAATTGCTGGATTCACAATGATTCCAAGACATTGTAAGGAACTAGAGCTTGCAGTGGGGATCAAGGACATACGGCTGAGAACAAATGTGTAGATATGGCTACAATCACTCAGGAAAACAATGGACTGTGTACACAAGCATTATAATGTGAGTCAACTTTTGGGTCAATCAATCTTATAAAACTTTGTGCCAAGAACTCCACAAACAGTGTAAATACTTATATATATGAAAATGTGCACTGTAGTGATAAAATCTAACCATGTGATCACAAACAAATCAGAATACATTTGATGGACTACTATGTAGCCATTTAAGACATATGCTTTTAAGAACAATTTAGAAGTACAGAGAAATGATAATATAGAGTAAAAAAAAGGGACAAAATAAAACACCATATGTAAATCTCTGAGTTTGTGAAATAATTTGTTTTATACATTCCTGAGTTTTCAAGAATACATTCTTTTTACAGCATGAAAAAGAAAACAAAAAAAGATATTTAACACAAGGCTCTAAGGTTGGTTTGACTTTCTGGTGATTTTTTTTGGTACTTTAACTTTTTTGTATTTTTTTTTAAAATATAGCTTCTAATGAGTCTTGCTTTATGATCAAACGTATTCGAACTCAGCTATTTCATCAGGTGACAACAGTGATGCTTCCACCGTCAGTGAGCAGTTTACCTAAAACGCAATTTATAAAGATCAATGGCCTGTTGAACTCAAAGAAGCCATCCCCAAAAATTGTATAAAAAGATTTATTGAAATTTATCAATGACAAACAGACATAAAACTCAAAGTTTGGCTCTTCTGAGGGGCAGGAGAAAAACTGGTGCAGATGTTCTTTTATACAGATGAAACATGGGTTAGGAAATAACACGTCACTTCTAAAGCAATCCAGAAGAGGGACACGAAAGCAAACCTGTACATTCACTAGGAATTTGCAGTCATTTCAGACTTCCACTAGGTAAGAAAATACAATTTTGCATTAGTTTTTCCGTGCTTGGGTGTATGAAAAAAACCCAGCCGACATGCAGCCACGTCTCCAGCGCTCAGGTCTGTAAAAATGTTCTAAGCACGGAAGTACACGTGGAAGAATTATCCTGTCATTTTCATAAAACAAAGCGTTCTAATATTTTACAGAACAAGATAGGACAGTTTTTTTTTTTCTTTTAAAGAGGCTGAAGTTTGAGGGTTTGTTTCTTCTAATTATAATCACCAAACCCATTTCACTTATTATTCATAAGCCTGCTGTTCTCCGCTTGAGGGCTCACAGCTCAAGAGTACCACCGAGTCCTCTTTGAAAAGCGAAGCCCACCACCATCTGTGAAGGGGAAAAAGGGATGAGAGATGGGGAATGTCCCCAAACCAGTGCCAAAATACGCCTTTAGGTTGCTATTTACAAACCAGGGCGCTGGATGCCTCTAGCAGGCCCAAGAAACACAGAAATCACATGAGCCAAAGCAAGAGTTAGCGGTGTAGCTGGTATTCAGCCTCTCCCAGGATCTGAGTGACCAGACTGAGGCCAGCATGGCTTTCAAACCAACTCTGGGGACTTGGGACATACCAGGAAATGTAAGAGACCTCCAAACCATCCTCTTTGAGAGTAAGGAACAAATGCTCACTTGGTGTGTACTCAGCTATTGCATTTACAGGGACAAAACCAGACACAAAGAAAAAGGAGGGGGAAAAATAAAGAGTGGCAGTAAAAATAGTATTTTATTCCACCCCCTCCCGCCCTCCCCCCCCCAGCAACCCCCAGTACACTTTTCCCCTCTCATTCCCACAGCAACGTTACAATCAGAAAAAAATAAGTTTCAGGGGACAGGATTTGGAGGAGGGGAGGGGATACGGGTAAAAACAGTCAAATCACAATAGGAATTTTTCAAAATAGGTTATTCCACTTAGTCATCGTCTTCTCCCTCATCTTCAGGTTCTCGTTTTCGCTTCTGACCCCTTTCTTCTTCTGGAAGAGTAAGGGAAAGACATTTGGATTAGCTATCCAACCCGCCTCTTTAACTCAACACACCCCTAGCAAGCAGCCATATCTAGAAACCTTGCCACCTTGGAAACCAAGGCAGGGAGGCACCTGGGGCCTCAGATAGGCATCTTCTGCCCACTGCAGGCTCCTCAGAGCCCAAGCAAGCCAATGTAAACTACACATGCCAGGCTGCTATCAGCTGTGATAAAGAGGTACTGTACCGCCAAGTTCTTCCTCATCTTCCTCATCGTCGACTTCCCCGTCGTTATAACCTTCTTCATCCTCCTGGGAAAAAAAGCAATGTTAGAAATGACCTGGTCTATGGATGTTACCCAACCCCTCGGAGTCCCATGCCAAGGCCTGCCAGCTCAGGATAAACATTAAGTGGAGGTGCTGAATCTATTTTGGATCAAGGATTGTACTTGAGAATCTGCAGAAAGCTTTGAACTCCTTCCCCAGAAATTGCTCACATCAGATACAACACTGTCAAGACAACTGGAGGGGGCTGGACTCCACCCTGCAAAGAACTCCTGATGAGAAGTCCCCAGAAGTCAGGCTGCTTTCCAGCTCGCAAGCTCTTAGGAGAACAGGCTCCCTAAGCAGACTCCTGACGTGTAAAGTAGGCCACCCTTTCTTTCATCTGTCCTCAATCCAGTTTTGGCTTCAAGGGAAGACCCTGGTCAGCAAAGCCAGATTGTGTGGGCAAGTGAAACTGCACCCTACCCAGTTCTTTCACTATATTGCAAGCTTGGACCACCTGATGGGGAGGGGCAGGGAAGATAAACTCAAGGTCCCCTGAGGACATCATTCCCAACTTGCTTGAGACTGAGCCAGGAGTGTGATTTCCTTTTTCCACACAGGGCCCTTGCTCTGTGCTGTCCCTGAAGATGTTACATGCTCCCCGACTCCCTGCATGCTGGACTGCTTCTAAAGCAGGCCACTGTCTAGAAAAACTGGGTGACAGACTTCTTTCTGACAAGGGAAATATCCTTTGATAATGTCACCAAATAGTTCCCCCTCGGTTTGTTTGGTAGGACTGTTTTTGTGTGTGTATTATTGGAAGCTGGAAATGTACAGATGGTCAATGAGATTACAAAAACCAAAACAAAACCCAAATGCTGCGCCTCTTGTGACAGGAAGGGCAAGATGAACTCTCCATTAGCCAGCACTACTTACTGCCCTGTCCTAAGGAGACCTGCTTTCCTAAGTCTTTACTTTTAATGAGCTCACAGTACTCAATAGAAGTGAGCCTAGCCTAGACCTAGGGAGAAGAGGCTTTGAACTTGCAATCCTCCTGCCTCAGTCTTCCAAACCATTGGGATTACAGGTGTGCGCCATTGCACCTGGCTTTCTCACCAGCTTTTCTGGCCTTCCGCCACCTGTTCCAGGCCTAGGCCAAGCAGTAGCTGGGAGACCCTGCCTGAACAAAGTATATATGTATACGGCAGGTGGATGTCTGCATCCAAGTGAAGGAGACAGGAAGTGAGGATGATGGTAAGGGAGGGGGCAGGGGCAGGCACCTTGCCCACACTGTTATCTTGCTAGCAGCAAGAGTTGGTTTGGAATTCTAAGCAAGTCATAGAAAATGCTTCTGCTATGGAGAGCTGGAACACCAAAACACAAAACCTAGCAAACAGAGCCAAGAACTTGAAGGAGGGTGTGAATGCCTACAATAACTGGTCAGACACTCACCCCTTGTCAGACACTGTCCTCAAGCATTTTGCTTACACTTTATTTTATATTCTAAATAACCCAGTGAGAGATACATCATGATCTGTAATTTACAGACTAAGAAATAGGCTCAGGAAGGTCAGTAACTTGTCCAGGGATGCACAGCTAGTACACAATAGAGCTGGGATATATCCCCTCAGACTGCTCTCTCCCTTGTTACCTTCATAGACATTAGTTTTTGAAAAACTGGGAATCAGTAGATCCACTAGGCTAATGGCCCACTCTTGATGCACTATTTTCTTAGTGTGCAGATGAACCCTGTTCCTCTGATTTGAGACCCAGGAGTACCTTATCCTACCTTTTAGCAGTTACAAGCTGCCTAATTTTCCCTGGTACACTTTTAAGTGCTCAGTATTGTAATTAACATATGAATGCAAAACAGCAGCAAATGGGGACAGGATTCTGTATTTCCAAAAGAACTAATTTTCATATAGAAAAGAGGGCCAGGGTTCCCCCAACAGGTGAGTCCCTGGCTCCAGAATCTTCTTCCCCACTCCTAATGCAACTTCCCTAGAACTACTTGCAAGTCTTATCCCCCAAAGATAGTCCAGTGAAAGGCACTCCTCCTTCCCCTGCCCGTGGGAGAGTAGCTCCCCATGAGGGCCCCTGGCTGCCCAGGCTGGTCATGGTGTTTGGCAGGACAGGCTCAGAGGCAGCACCAGGGAACCCAGGACATAGCGCCCTTGCAGTCCCGCCTCCTTACCTCCTCCTCTCCACTCACATCCTCCTCTTCCCCTTCCTCCTCTTCATATTCGTCTTCCTCATCTTCCACTATCTGAGCATCTTCATCATACTCCTCCTCTGTTCAGTTGGGATGGGAAACAAAGACAAAAGGGGTGGTGAGCTGCCACCTCCCTCGTGAGCAAGGTCTAGTGTGGGTCCCACAGCCCTCCCACCCTCTGGAGCCCAAAGCCCAAGTGCTCTCACTCACAAGAGTGCTGATATGATTAAAAACATATCAAAGGGATCCACAAGGTTAGCCCTCCCCTCAAGTTTTATGAGAGCAAAAAGACCTCTTGTGGATGCGAAGCCAGATTGCCAGATTCAAGCACAAGTCAGAGGAAGCAAGGAGGTCGATTCATTTATAAAGATCTCCTAGGAGCTGTGTGTGGTGGCATATGCCTATAATCCCAGTGACTCAGGAGGGTGAGGCAGGAGGATCGCAAGTCAAAGCCAGCCTCAGCAACTTAGTGGGTCTCAAAATAAAGGACTGGGGATGTGGGTCAGAAATCTAGAGACAAATGACTTGTTCAAGGTCACACATGGAATCAGAGGAGGGCAGCCAAGCAGAGGTCTGGAAGCCTGGTTTTAAGACTGGACCATCCTGCTGTACACTCAGATCTCCTCTGTGTACCAAAACACCACATGCACCTCAGGAAGGAGGATGTTATTATCCAACAAGACAAATGGGGTATCTAAATACCTTATAAAATACTTCTAATATAGCAAGGAAAAATAAATCTTGTGTCTGAATTAATGGAGTGGAGACACCACACTGTACCCACAGCAGGGAAGGTGTGAAGTCAAAAGGAGGCACTCCTTTTCCCAGTCTTTCCTTCCTGAAGGTTCTGCACTGCTTGCAGCCTCCTACACACCCCAGAGCTGGCCAGCAGTGTCTGGGCTATAGCCACCAGGGGGCCCCACAGTCTCTCTGGCTGGTGATCTGGTCTCCACTTCCCGGAGAAAGAGGGTCTTCAGGCTACACCCCTCCTTCCACTATCCTCTTGCCCCCTACCTGGAAGTGTCTAGATCTGGGTTCAAACTATATATAGAGAGACAACAGAATCACAGTCCTTGTGAGGTTTCAGAAAAGGGACAAAAATTGAAGTGAAGATTCAATTTTAAAGGAATTACACAATCTCAAGACGTTCCTCTGGGGTCTGTATCCTGTTCTTTTAGGGGAAATAACCAATGAGACCTATTAGGGTCTGGGGGAGAGGGGGAAGGCAGGCCCTCTGGAAATAGACTGCCCACCCCCAGCAGCAGGTGGGGCTTCCCAGCAGCTAGCCCACCCTGCTTCAAGCCAAGGAGGAAGCCCCTGGCCTCAGGCTGAGCCCTTGCAGCCCTATGCCACCCATCCTCCTCCTCATCACCACCCACCATCCTCATCCTCCTCGTCATCATCCAGACCCTCCACATAGCCCTCAGCATCGGAGTCGGAGGCCTCCTTGTCGTCCTGGTCATAGCCATCAAGATATGTGAGCTGTGGGAGGAGCTTGAACACGTTTTCTCGGTAGTCGTTCAGGTTGGTTACCTCACAATTGAAAAGGTCTAAGCTCTTGAGGTTCTCTAAGTTCTTCTGCAAGTGGTAAAAAAAGTTAAGAGTGAGAGCAATTTATGGGAGGTGGCATAGGTCAGGAGTGGTCACCCCAGAAAAGTTCTCATCTGGAAAATGGGTTGGACTTGAGGACCTTTAAAGCCTTATTTAATGTTAAGGCTTTTATTCTGCAATTCCAGCTGTTGCCTTAACAGAGACGGTCTTGAAATTAACCTGGGTCCTTCTTGGTACATGAACCAACAGCTTTGCCGAGCACCCCTGTGACCACAGAGACTGAGGAACTAAAAGGCAACATGAACTAACTTCTGCATCTACATGATTGTCATGGCAGTTAACATAGCACTTCACATAGAAGTCAATTCTTCCCGCAACCGCTTAGGTTGAAATTATTAGTGAGTTTTACAGGAAACGAGGCACAGACCTGTGATCTTGCACTTGCCCAAAAGGACACGAGAAAAACTGATGAAGGGTCCAGATTCTGTCCACAGTACTTAGCAGGACGTGCTTGTCAAAGCTTTGTACTAGTTTGGTCCTAAGCTCATATGAACCCTGTTGGATGGCTGAGGAAGCTAAGGGGCCACAGCTTGCATGTGAGAGCCGCATCTTCACCTCCTGCCTAACTCAAGCAGTTTGACTCAAGGTGAGCCCCTGTTGGGATGGGGGCCAGCCTAACTGCGGAGGAAAGCCACTGCCTCTCAGGGTGAATATTGATTCTCTAATACTTGGAACACCTGGCACCTGTGACCTGGGTCATTCTCAGCAGAGATGTCAAAGGCATCTTGACTGTGCTATGTGATGAGCCACTACCTCCCAACCAAAAGCAGTTTCCCGCACCAGGGAAGTGTAGCACTCATCACACTACTAATGGAGGGGAGCCTGCTGAAACACGGGTGTGGCCACTGGGAGGAGCATGTGTGTCCACTACATGGTGACTGAATGGCAACATTTATGAGGATTTCATTTACTCAGTCCCCAAACACACTCCAAGAAAAAATATTCCATACTTCCAAACTCAAAAGAACTTAGAAGACTTTTCCTTTCATAGTAAAATTACAAAATCAAGACCTCCAGGCAGACCAAACTAGTTTTGCTTTCTCCCAGGAGACGAGTGGGAGACCTGAACAGAACTGTGCCGCGGGAAGTACATTTTATTGGCTGACCCCAAGACACAGGTAAGGTCTGAGCATGGGAAAGAAATGCCAGCTTCTTATTCTGCCACCCTGGTCCATCAACTGGGGTCACTCCTTCTTGCTCAAAGAAGGGCAATATGCACAGAGCCTGAAGTACAGTCCAGGTTTCCAAAGTGAGTGGAAACTGAGGGAAAAGCTTGAGACCAGAAATCGAGGCCAGGATCCACATCCTGCCTTCACACTGACTGCCCATTCTGGCTGTGTAACCTCGGTCAGCTGTTTCAACTCTGAGCCTCAGTTCATGTATGGACTAAGCAGCTCCTATTCTACCTAACAGCATATAATGAGAGTCCAAGAAATTACGATAAATGAAAAAAGTTCTTATACAAATACAAAGGCAGTATTCCCTGATACCGATTTCTCCCCATCTCTCAACCCAGCAGAGAGGGGAGCATTCAAATAACTTACCAGTGGCTCTATTGTGCTGAGGTCTTTGATTTTGTTGCCACTTAAATTTAGATGCGTAAGGTTCGGACACCTTTCTGCCAATACTTCCAGGCCCCCTGAGATTCTGTTATCGCTTAGTTCGAGCTAAACAGGCAGACAAAAAAGCAGAAAGGGCTTTTAAAATAAAGGTTCTCGGCTCAGGGCCTCTTGGTTCTCCCAGAACAGTGAGGAAGGGAAAAAGGGAAAGAAGTCTCAGGGGATCTGCAGGCAAGTTGGTGCAGGCACCTGGCCTCACCTTCAATTACGCTGCCTGCACACAAAGTAATCACCCCCCTCCTGCCCACCCAGCTCCCTGTACACAGGCTCCTGTGCTGTTTACCTTCTTAAGTTTGTTTAACTTTGGTAAGTTGGCGACTGAGGTGAGGCCTACGTTGATTGTACTTAGGAATTCCAGTTCTTCAAATTTGTCTGTGAGGCCTTCAATTTTGCCTTCATTCGACCGACAATTGTCCAGGACAAGTTCTTTCACCTGGAAAGGGAAGGACCACATGAATGGAAGGGGGTGGGGGGGATAAGTGGGGAAGAGTGTTAGGGAAGCCTCCTTAGAGGAGGAGGAGACGCTCCCTGGAAGCAGTCCATCATTACACAAAAAAGTCACTTCCTGATCACTGTGTTGCACAGGACAGATCTCCTCCCTGCCCCCACCTTTCTGCCTCAGCAGTACAGAGGCCACCTCCCACCTTTACCTCTCCGTATTTCTGTGACCCTCTGTTCATGGTGCCCAAGAGGCACACATATGCTCGTTCACTCTCTCCGGCTATCACAGAGCTTGCTTATCTGGCCCCTGGCCTTATTGCTGCCCCATGGTAGGGGGCAGACCAGGGACTCCTAAGACCCCATCCCTAGACCAGTGCTGTCCAATAAAAGTTCCATGAGGCTGCAAACATTCTGTACTGCTCACCACACGTGAGCCCTGAGCATTTGCAACTAGCTCTGGCTCTGCTCTCCAGGGTCCTGCACACAGATGGGGAAGGAGGGAACGGAATGCCTCACACAGAGGATCCATCTACAATGAAAGGCTGAGGCTGGCAAAATCCCCAAGGATGTCTCTGGAAGCATCTCTGAAACCCTGCTTCCCACCCACCCTTTACCCAAATATCGGTACTAAATTCTTTATTTCTAATGAGGTAGAAATAACTGATCAAAAGTCACCTCAGGAGTGGTTAAAAGGTAGACCTGGCTGAGGGTGACCTGGTCAGATAACAAGATGACCAGTAGACATGGTCAGACAACAAGGTGAGGAAGAGCAAGCAGATGTCAGGTCTGAAATGACCAGAGAGCCAGCAGGGACACCAGGGTGCCTCTAAGAGGTTACCCTTGAGTTACTCCTGCCCAGTGAATGCCACTTGCTTGGGGAACCTGGCCTTTCAGGGTTGGAAGGAATCTCCTGGCTGCACCTGGTACTTGAGAGGGTCCCTTCAGACCCAGACATAACATCCCAACCTGCTGGCTCCCTAAGGCCTACCAGGACATGATGTCCACTGAGAAGCCACCTCCCTCTCTGGGACTCCCACCTAATGGCCCTGAATTTTCACCACTGGGTCACATGGCATAGGCTTGTCTCTTCTCCACAGCACTCCTGCATTTGTTGCAGGATCACTGCTGCCCCTCAGAGCCTTTGCCTCTCCTGGATAAGCAGAATGGACCCTGTCCAGGGATTCCCCATCTCCTCGGCTGGCCAACTTGTTTCAGTCTTCCAGGTAACCCTTTTATTCAGCCATCTGTGGGCCAGGTGGAAGTTTGCAGGAAAGTAGGAATGCAGCCCACATTAAGCCAGGGAGCAGAGCAGGGGACAATGGGAAACAGCTGGATGCCAGAGCCCAGCAGGGTTCTGCTGTCCTCCTCGTGGAGGACAACTGCCCTGCCCATGACAGCAGCAATTTATGGGTTCTTATAGAAGGGAAAGCCTGGAAGCAGCAGCTCTCTCCCAGAGCTAATGAGCTCTCAGCCTAGGTGCTAGTCATAAAGGCCCACCTGCCCACTGGTGTGGGAGTGGGCAAGTTCAGTCCCCAGTAGAGGCCGGATGTCCAGGTCAAGCTACTTTCTCCAGGTCAGTGGCAAGAGTGCCTGGGAGTAAATCCTGGGAGGCCCTCTACCCTCGGGCAGAAAATCAGGGTGGGGCCAGGAAGCCAGGCCTTAGGGGACAAGTAAATGGAGAAAGAGTAACCCCCATCTCCTCTCCAGGAGTCAGGAGGCCCCTGTCTGGTTTCCTTAGAAGGCCTGGGAATTCCTGAAGCTCCACTAAGGAAAGACAAATGTGAGAAGAGACTCTGGTCTACCCTGGAGACTGCAGGCGTGGTTTTCCTGGCCTGGTCAATGGCCTCTCCCCTCACTGCCATTAGCCAAGGAGTAAAGGGCCTCAGTATTGGGTGTGTGTGTGTGTGTGGGGGGGGGAGACAGGGGCGGTGCAGAGACCAGGGCACACGCCACCTAGAGATTCCACAGATACCTGGGTTTCAAAGTGTTGACCAGGCCAGTCTCCAGCTCCCAGTACCATACCCAAACTGCAGCCACTTCTCTCAGGGACACAATACAAGCCATGACACCTAATGTTTTTTTATTAACATCACTCTTCCCTCACTAGGCATCCTCCTCTATTTGTAGCCACAGTAGTACTGCCTGTCCTGAAAACCCAGGACACAGTCATGAAGAGTGTCCACTGGACCCCAGTGGTCTGTGTAGTCCACAACATGCAGAGGGGCCCCTGGAAGCTTCTTTGACATTCTTAAATGTAGGGTACACACTCTCTAGACCCCACCTTAATTCTGCAGGCTCTCCTGGCTCTGTAACTGCTTTCTCTCAGCCCCCCTCTTCTAACTGCTCCAACAGCTGCGTGGGCGCCACTTCCAGAGCTCCCCACCCTGGCTACACTTCCTTGGTCACCAAAGCATAGAACCTAACCCAGCCCTGACTCAGAGGGCTGCAAGAGGGAGCATAGATCCAGAGGGCCCTAGGATCCCACTATTTGTCTCTCTCCCAAATCACAGAGGAGGCTGCTCCCTGGGAACTTCTGAAGGGACAGGTGGGGACTCAGAATCCCCACTGTTCCTGTGTCTCCCTCCTGGCAGGGGTGGGAAGTAAAAAGGCAGGGGTGGGAAGTAAAGGTGTTCGACACTGTTTAGGGTGAGACCAAAGAGAAGAGGGAGGGGTCAGGGCCTAGATCTTGTAGTTGCTGATATCACCAAAAAGCCCAAACCATGTTATATCACACGGGTGACAGGGGTGGGGTGGGGTGGGGGTGAGGGAACAAGTGAGCTGCCTATGAAGTATCTCAAACGGACCAAAGAGAACAAAACAACTCCAGCCTGGCTGCTGGCCTGTGGAAGTCACACTGGTCACCCTCCTACCTGTCTCCACAGGCCAGTGTTGTAGTACCCCAGGGCAGACTGAAGTATTTCCAGGCCTCGGGCCTCTCCCTGAACTGCTCTAATTCCAATCAGCTTCCTCTGGAACTTGGCGGCCTTGGCCCTAACCCTTCCACACTAGAATATCCCTTTTGCATCCATGGTGTGTTTTGCTTTAAAAAGGAGAGGGGAGGGGAAAAAAAAGCCCACTTTCCTGCCAAGTCCTGGGTGTGAGCAAAGTGCAAAGTTAAAATTAAACTGAAAATTTGTACTTTGGGTTTAGACTCTCCCAGTTCCACCGGTGATTTAAAAATATCCAAACGTGGTTACTCTTTGTAGCCCAACAACTGGAACTACTCTGCTGGTATGAGAATTTTCAACCCCACAAGACCCGCCACTTCACTGCTCAAGTGGTGATACCCAGAAAGAGCCTCACATTCACATTCTGCCCTCAAGAGATGTCCATGAAGGGGCACTGAGGATTCCCAGAGGTCAGATAGACTATCCTGGTTCTCGCATTTCTTGAAAAACTGTCTCCAAAGCACTGGCCTCAGTCATTCCCCACCAGTGGGAGCTGAAACTTCCATGATAAACACAAACATTATTACTCTAAAGGAACATCTTGTTTGTTTCAAAACTCTGAAGTCCTTTTGACCTTTCCTCTCCACTTCCAACATTGCAGCCATGGTCACTGTCACCTCAAGTTACTTCAACACTGCTTTTGCCTCCAACTGAGGTCTCTGTGACCTCAGGGACAGCTATAGTTAGGAGGCTGGAGGCCAAGGACTCCATGGGCTGACTGACCCTATCTCTGTCCCCAAAACCTTAAGCTTTTGCCTGTCAGAAAGGGGATGACATCTATTAAATTATAAAACACAAACTCTAACCTAGAAAATATACCTTGTTTTTCAATGCCTCAGAAACATTCACGTTCCTAAACATGACCTACAACCCCCCCCCCCCCAATCCCCACACTCCCCACCTCTCACCCTGCACTGCATATCTAGTTCAAGTCCCCTCCCCAGGAAGCCTTCCTTGTATCCAGCTCTGGGCGTCCTGGGGCTCTGAGGGCAGCTGCTACATGAATCATTTAATCGTGTATTAAGCATCTGATCCTCCTAGAGGTCAGGGACTGTCCTTCTCCATAATCAGCCTAGCAGGGAGCGGACACCAGAGCAACTGCCTCACAAATGTCCTCTTTATTGTGCCAGGCACAATACTAGGTACCAGGAGGACCAAGAGAGGCAAACTGCCACGGGACCTGCAGCGTAGCCAGCGGAATAAGCACTGGATAAGCCCTACCTCTGATAAACAGCAGCAGCTTTGGGGTGTGTACTTTGTGCCCCTGAGAGGCAGGGCAGCTGTGTTTGCTCCCAACTTGACCCAGTGCTCTGTATATGGGCCTCTATAGGCCTCTCCACACAGGGTGTTCCTGCAACATTGTTGGCTGAGGGGACACAGAGACGATGGTGAGCCAAGGTCGGGGTCCTTGCCAGCAAGGTTTGGTGACTGGCAAGGAAGAGACAGTCAGCCAGTAAACAACTCCAGCCCAGGGTGCCAGGTAGCAGGACTGAGGCTGAGACAGAGTGCATGCTCCAAATGTCTCCACGAGAGAAGACAGAAAGCCAGAGGAGACCAAGAGGCACCCAGAAAACCCAAGAAAGTGGATGTATGCTCACAGCCAGGACAGGCTCCATAAATCAGAGGCCCAGTGCAAAATGAAAAAGTAGGTCCCTTGCTTAGAAAATCATGAAGAATTCTAAGGTAGTGACAGCAGCTCTTGCAGCACAGGTCACACAGCTGTGAAGCTGGCCCTGATTAAAATGGACAGCTTGGGCCTAAAAACAGAGCTCTCTAAAGAGCAGAACCAGAGAAAAGGAAGCTCAGAGTAAGAACTGTTCGGTATGCTTCCAGTACTTCCCGAGGCAACACGGAGATGTGGAGAGAAGGCAGGCAGGCTCTAGAGTCAGAAAGACCTGGCTCAAGCCCAGATTTTCTACTTACTAGCCCATCTCACCTCCCCGAGCTTCCAATTTTCCTCTAATGACTACAATGCCCATCACCTTGGACTGGATTAAATGAAATGAGGTACTTAGAACATTCCAGCTTGAAAAAAGCTACTTGC